TGATCCTAACCTGCAAATTAATTACCCAATTAATTAATCTTATGAAAACAAAAATAATACCAACTGACTCACCCTCATCTTGTTTGGCATTTTAAAAAATCAGTAGATTTCTGCCACTGTTTTGACTGAAAATGCTCCAGTAACAAAAATTAATCTTTGCAAATGATTTTTTTTTTTAAATTTGGTTTTTGTGGTGTGTAGTGTACATAAATCTTTGACGATCTTTCCTTCTCCGACGATGAGCAAAATTGTCTTGTTTTCCATCCGTTTCTAGCCGACATTTGTCGTTATATATATATATATATATATATATATATTTTGTTTAGCCTAATTTGGGACCAGAGAAAATCTCACTTATATCCGGGTTACACAACTAAAACAAGATTGTTCAACACGATCTAAATAGGATACGATGATCCCAGACTCGTCCAAGAACTGACCCCATCCCCGTCGCCAAAATAACGACAACAATCATCGTCGACATTTTGGCGATGAGGACGAGGTCAGTTCTTATTTTTTTACCCGTTGTCGCTACCGAATGTGACATAAACGTTTAAATTGGGTTTTTAAAACGGCAATAATACCACGGAACAATTTGTTTGAAGGATCCTTGACCCCCTCACGAAGGAGAGGTACCTCCTTGTGGGCATGACTCTTTCTTTAGTCTTTAAGCTTAAATTACCCAGCCATTTGTTTTAATCTCCAGTCAACACGTTCCAATCGTTACAAAACAAAATGGTGGAATGGTCACTTCCGTTTCCTATTTATTATATAACCAAGAACAAACGAAATTTATACAATCAATATTTTTTATAAAGATTAATATTATAAACTAAACCTAACGTAATATATTGCTCATAAATATCTATCTTTAATTTTTACGACAGAAAAGGTAAATTTACAGTTTAAGCTCCGCATATTAATTGTGATTAAAGTTTCCTGAAGATATCTATTTCGGTGCAAATTTACATGCTTATTTCGAAAATAAGAATAAAAGTTTGCGGAAATCTACCGTTTAGGAGTTATTGACAATATAAGTTCGGACTCATTCGTGTCGCAGCTGCCATTATTGGCGTTGTTTATATATGTTTGCTTGAACAATACGCTTTTTTTGGGGGGGGGGTCGTAAAAAATGTCCAAAAGGACCAAAATTCTTCCAAAATTAATCTAAATGGATTTTATTTTTTTAACAAAACTTGGTAAATTTGCTTTATAATCCCCGCGCTAAATATCTATTAAAAATTTCCCAAATGGTCATATTTTCGTATAAATGTAATTGTACATGCTGAACTCCGAGTTTCAGAACTCGAAATAATTTTTAAAAAACGGTTAATTTGTAGTGTAACACCTGCACTCAGTTCGCATTAAAAATTTCCATAATGTGTAATTGTACATCTTCCATTCGAATTTGGCTTGATAAAATCTACAGTTTGGGAGTTATCGACAGTGAAATTTCGGATTCATTTGCGTCGCGGACAGCCATCAATGGCGTTGTTTACATTCATTCGCTGGAGAATAGCTATCAGTGTAGGTATCATTGCGTAAACTGAGCGTGTCTACGTAAATAGTTCTCGTGCGCAGTAATTGGGACAAATTTTGGCAAAAAGATCTGTCCCGAGATTAGCTTTCCGTAGTCTTCCGCGTATGTATGCAAACAACGCGAGTAATGGCTGCCGCCATCGACGCGATTGAATCCAAAATTCCGCTGTCGATAACTCCAAAACTGTAGATTTTATCAAATTTATCAAGCCAGATTCGAAAATTACACATAAATGTAAGTATTTTGGAACGTTTTAATGCGAACTGAGTGCGGGTGTTACACTGCAAATTAATCTAATTTTTTACAAGTTCAGGTTCTCTAGCATCTTTTCTGATCTTTGCCACAACTTTCACCACTGCTCCCAAATATACCTTGATTTTTTTTTTTTTATGAAAGATAATGTATTTTCTGACGAATAAGAGGACTGAAAAATATAAAAAGGAATTTGACCACCCATGACTTGACCATGGTGACATAAAGTCGGTGGGTAATGCTCACAACTTGTCAGATCCTTGCTTCTAAAACCAGCTCCCAAAACTTTGATTCTTATCAATGATAAGAAGATATTCTCTGACAAATGATAGGGCCGGAAAAGTGTATAGCAATTTTGAAGGGAAAAATTCCCGATATTTCTGAGCCTCCTAATCTCGATAAATATGGAGAATATGTGCCTCTTTGGCAGTGAGTATGGGACATTGTCTGTGATAAAATCAGGTGGGTGACAGTAACACCAGTTATCTTCGGAATCTGTTTCAAGGAAAAATCTACATGCTAAAAGACAGAACGTCGGCCCTCTTTTAAAACTACTCTAGATCTGCTTCCTAGAACCTTAAAATTCCTGTTGTCAGCCTACAAACTCACTAAAGATCTTTTGATTGTTTCCTCTTCCCCCTCAACAAGAGCTCTGCAGAAATCTTATGTGAGTGTTAACCCCTTAAGAACAATTTACTTGCTTAAAGAACTATTAGGCACTCATAGAAATATTTTGAGCAAACCTTTATATGAACATTTATTTCTTCCTTTAACGTAAAGGAATTTTCTTCTCTCTTTCTTTTTCTCAAGCTTTGTGTATATCCCTTTACCTTTTTTTGTGTATGTAAATAAACATTTTCTTCTTCTTTTGTTAAACTCTGAGCAGGAGTTTGAGTCTTTATTCTTCCGCCTAAAAGAGGGAATTGTCTTTTCTAAACTTTCAAGCCATTGTTGCTTTTATCGATTCTCTTACCTTTAACCTTAACACTTTCATGTGGGAAAGCCAGGACAAATTTACCACAGATTTTGAGTGTTATTTGAACTCGACTCACCGATTACTCAATCCAAGCCGCTATACATTACTCCACCATGCTTCCTCTATATTCTGAAGTAAGGTGTGGAATTAAATGTCTTTTCAAAATAAGTGCCTATAAAGTGATTTTACAAGCATAGCTTAGATGTGGCACATGACCGAAAGTATGGAGCACCCAGTGAGGATCAAACTCACTACTCAGTTGTAATTGCTCTAGCGAGACAAGCTTGCTAAACATTACACCACCTCAAGGTGCCTTAAAAAAAATAAGTGCCAATAAAAGATGCTTTTCAGCCGTGCTGATTCAGAAATTCAAGAACATTGCACACAAGGATTTGACAATTGATCATTCAGAGTTAAAGGTCAATAGTACACCAGAATGAACAGAACTGGATATAAATCCAGGTGGACATTGACGTCAACAGAAATAGAAGTGTCAGATTCCAGCTGAGGTTCAACAGGACTGACAGAAGCAATTTCATATTCAAGCCCTGTGCCCTGTTATCATGGTAACTAAAATCTGAGACAAAGTAAAAGCTTGCTCGTGTAATGTTTCAGTGAACCTACCACAAAGGAGACAATTACCACTCTAGGCTGATTTTTAACATGATGTGTTTCAAATAATATATCATATGATATTAGCATAGTACCCATCAAAAAGTGATAACATAACATCCTCTGTAAATAAGCATTTTTTTTATGTAGGACTGCAAACTTTTCAGCATGATCTCGTCATATTAATTTATGTCAAGAAAAGAAAAAAAATTAGAATAACACGAGAAAAATTAAATAAAAAAACTTAAACACAGTAACTTGTCAGTCATTTTGTGCTCAGACAAAACATTCAGACAATTCTTACATAATTTATGTCCAAAAAAGAAAATAATTATAACAATACAAGAAAAAGTATACATATATATATATATATATATATATATATATATATATATATATGTATATAATAATAATGGACTCTCCCGTCAATTTCAACGTATGAGGATCTGGCAGCTTAATTGATTCAGTTATGAAATTTTGTGCGATAATCTTAAGTGGCACATAAGACCCGTTAGTGATTTACAAAGGAGGCCACATATAGAGCAAAAGTGGGGATTGTGAGATGAGATGACTGTTAGATTGCCTGACCTTTTAGATCTTGCTCTTGCTTCTTGAAGATGATTCAGACAAGCAGACTGAAAACTGCTGTCCACTAAAACACGTTGATCTCCATTCTACCTGCTCCAAGGCTAAGTGCTCAAGGGTGTTATGTGGTATATTGACAGCTGACAAGTTGCTTTTCAGCTTATCTTTATATCTTAGCCATGGGCTAAGATACAAAGACAAGCTGAAAAGCATAATATATATATATATATATATATATATATATATATATATTAAATTAAAAAGTAAAAACATTGATAGAACCAATGGACAACTTGCCAAAACCTAAAACCCTCATCCAGATAAAGTCTCAAACAAAAACAACAATACCAAAAATATATGTAAAAAAGGCTATTTTTAAAAAAATAAATTGACAAGAAAAAGATCATTTTAAGTGAATAAAAATAAAATAATAAAGATATACATGCACCTACATACATACCCATATGGAATACTTAATTTAATGAATTTTTGGTAACATTAAACAATTCATTTATTTTTCATTAAAAACATTTTCATTATATTTCACTCACCATTAGCTTATTTTGTTTACTGTAAAACATTGAAAATAAATGTTTAATCTGATTTCAGTTCTTTTATTTCAATCTAAATATAAACCCTTCATATCCAGATTTCGTAATCAATTCCTCATACCTGGATGGCATCTTAGTCCAGTTGTCAGGGATTCTACTGTAATTCAGTACTCTTTTCTTTATCCAGCATTTACTGTCATATAGGAGGACTGATATTGCATAACAGTTCAGTACTCTTTTCTTCATTTCTGTCACTCCAAGTCTCTTCTTCATCTGTGAGGAGATTGTCCAGTATTCACTGACATATAAGAGGACTGATATTACATAACAGTTCAGTACTCTTTTCTTTGTTTCTATTGCTTTAAATCTCTTTTTCATCTGTGAGGAGATTGTCCAGCATTCATTAATTTGTACTATTAATACTAAATATTACTGATTTATAAGTTAAAAAATGATACTTAGAATTATATTCCCTTTTACATACCTTCCATTTGCAAGCATTAGTAGTGGGGTGGCAATTTTTCCAATATTTGCTTGGGTGAGTGTATTCAAGATTTCCTTCACATCTGTGGGTATCTCTTGGGATCTGTTGATGGCTTCGTGCAGTCCATGTAAAGTATTCGACACAGTGTTCATGATAGTAATGTCATGAAGCTGTAAGAAAATAATATTTTATACATTTTACTTTGAAAATATAATACAATTTATGTTTTTTAATGGAAAATTAAAGAACACAATCATCTAAAAAAAATGTTTTTAATTTGTAAAAAAGGAAATGGAAAAAATCAAAATAGTAAAAAAGTGGTAAAAAGTCCATATCAAAGTTTTTCAACAATGGAATTCAAACATGTTCCAATGAATCTAAGCTTTTAGTATTTGCTATACTACAATATATGGAATCATTAGAGGGAATGAAAGTTTGGATGGATTTGTTTCATAAATCCTAGCCATAATATTCCAGGTTACATAAAGAGCTAGTATTCAAATCATTTCTAATGCATTCCTATAGTAAAATCATTTGCAATGAATTTCTATAGATGCTTTTAGTATTTGCTATATCACTAGATATGGAATCATTAGAGGGAATGAAAGTTTGGATGGATTTGTTTCATAAATCCTAGCCATAATATTCCAGGTTCCATAAAGAGCTAGCATTCAAATCATTTCTAATGCATTCCTATAGTAAAATCATTTGCAATGAATTTCTATAGAGGCTTTTAGTATTTGCTATATCACTAGAGGGAATGAAAGTTTGAATGGATTTGTTTCATAAATCTTAACCATAATATTCCAGGTTCCATAAAGAGCTAGTATTCAAATCATTTCTAATGCATTCCTATAGTAAAATTATTTGCAATGAATTTCTATAGATGCTTTTAGTATTTGCTATATCACTAGATATGGAATCATTAGAGGGAATGAAAGTTTGGATGAATTTGTTTCATAAATCCTAGCCATAATATTCCAGGTTCCATAAGGAGCTAGTATTCAAATCATTTCTAATGCATTCCTATAGTAAAATCATTTGCAATGAATTTCTATAGATGCTTTTAGTATTTGCTATATCACTAGATATGGAATCATTAGAGGGAATGAAAGTTTGGATGAATTTGTTTCATAAATCCTAGCCATAATATTCCAGGTTCCATAAAGAGCTAGTATTCAAATCATTTCTAATGCATTCCTATAGTAAAATCATTTGCAATGAATTTCTATAGATGCTTTTATTATTTGCTATATCACTAGATGTGGAATCATTAGAGGGAATGAAAGTTTGGATGGATTTGTTTCATAAATCCTAGCCATAATATTCCAGGTTCCATAAAGAGCTAGTATTCAAATCATTTCTAATGCATTCCTATAGTAAAATCATTAGAAAAGCTGTCTTTAAAAAACTGTTAGATTTCATAAAAGATAAGAGGTGATCCAATTTGTTGTTCAAATTCATTGTAAATTGATTCACCTTCACAACCCACAAAAATATATAAATTGATCCATCTCTATAGAAGCCAAAACAAATATATAAATTGATCCTGCCTCTGGAAGCCAAAACAAATACCCTCATATTTTGTAATCTGGTATTCATTCTTCATGTATTATTATCATTTAAATACTCCAGATTATGAATTTTTGTTTTTTAAAGAAAACACATTGTATGAATATATTTGTTTTAGCTTTACATTATTCAGACTATTGTCCTCATCTTTGTCACCATATTTCTTACAATGTTTTGGCCATTGTACACTCCGGCCTTCTTCAGGTGGTTGGAATGTCGAACAGAACCCTTTATTTCGCTCACTCGGGCAGACTGTTCTAGTTCATAAATCATTTTTAATGAATGTCACTTATCACTTATCTCCTGTTAATTCCCTTCTCCAAGTTCTCCACTGCATTAACCAGGTATTGAACTCACACTCTTTGGGTCCTGTCACTGGATCTAACCAATGCCTTTATCCACTGTGCCATGTGTCCTGTATAGACAGATACTTTCATAGGATGATCAGTTTGCAATAAATTTACATAGTAAACTGAACCTCCCTATTAAGTCTTATAAAGTTTTTTTTTGATATTCTTCATTTAGAGTGGTTAATCTATAGTAATATAAAACATTGATTATTTTTTTATTATACTGCCTCGTGTACAACACCACCCATTTTCCCTTGTTCAATATTACAACATATAAAATATTTTATTTTTGAGTGTATTGCCTCTTGTACAATACCACCCATTTTCTCTTGTCCAATATTACAACATAGAAAATGTTTTATTTTTGAATGTATTGCCTTGTGTACTATACCACCCATTTTCTCTTGTCCAATATTACAACATATGAAATGTTTTATTTTTGAGTGTATTGCATCTTGTACAATACCACCCATTTTCTCATGTTTAGTACTACTTTGTATCTATTAAAAAAATTCTATGTAAATTTGAAGGCTCTGAATTTATAAAAGTCATGTTTATAAATATAATCTTAAGTAATTGGTCAGGGGATTTTGTGGCTTATCACAATGATAATTGGAAAATGTGTGACGATTAGGATATGAATCACATAAATACTTGTATGCCCTTTGATATAAATTTTAATTACTAAGATAAAAATACTTGAGTTTCTTCTTGAATCTTAAAATTTTTTCAAATTATACAACCTTTGTACTTGAAATTTGATAGGCTAGTTTTCTGATTACGAGCACACTGCAGTTCGATTCAAGATGCAGCCTATTTATTGCCTGCCTGTATATCCAAAAAAGATTAAAACAGATATATTTCATTGTTTATTTTAATTGTGACATAAAACATTGTTAATTTTCCTTGTTAAGTACTATATTTCTAAATTATACAAACTGTTATTGAAGAACACCAATTCAGAATTTTGCAGAAGAATAGATAATACCAAACATTGAAAAAAAAAATTTAGTCATATTTTCCGCTGACATGAAGTGGAAAGATTATATTAAATTAATTGCCAGGTCTGAAGATAAGGAAGATGATCCACAGTGTTGTGCTAGATATTTTTTCTTGCTAGAATCTATCTTACATATTTATAAGTTTACTATCCATCTATGCTTTGAATATTGCTGCCACATTTGGTGTGGTGCTTCTGTTATATACAGAGTTTGCCAAAAAATGTTTTACACACTTCAGGAAAGGAAAAACTTGTATAGATATTGTAATACTAAATTTTAATCAGACATCACAAGATTAATACAAGTTACCTTTGGATTCTACAATCACAAGAGATGCTCAAAATGGTGGCTTTTTAGCTTCCAGATATTTATTGGTACAGTGACATGGTAGACTTTGTGGGCAAAGCTAAATATGATGCCTAGAACAAGCTTGGCCAGATGTCAAAGGTTAGTTTAGATCCTTTTTCACATGCAGATACATACATGCATACACACACAAACAGATATATATATATATATATATATATATATACACACACACACATATATAGTCCATCCCAAAAATGTATACACACTTCAGGAAAGGAAAAACTTGTATAGATATTGTAATACTAAATTTTAATCAGATATCACAAGATTAATACAAGTTACCTTTGGACTTTACAATCACAAGAGATGCTCAAAATGGTGGCCTTGTGGGAGAATGAAAATTAAATAATAAATAAATTAAATGATAAACATAATAATTAAAAAAACATAAATAATTTAATTTTCCCATAATGCAAATGGAAAGCAAAAAAAAAGGGTTTCTGTTCAAGTGCAAAGTTTGTGACTTCGCTTCCATAAAAGAGATCATCTTTCTCTTCATACTCTTGAATCATTGGATTCAGATGTGTTTTTGCAGTGGTTCTAAGGAAAGTAGATTCAGTCAGCCTCTCTCAAAGTCATGTTGACTTGAGGTCAACCACTCTCTTACCTTCAAGTTTAGTACACCCATGTGTGTCAATAAAAATTGACTCCTAATTTTTCCAGCAAAGTTTTTGTGTTATTTATCATGGTCCAATGACGTTACCATCTGATACCAGCCGAAAAACAAAATACCAACCGACTACAACCTTTAGCTTCCAGATATTTATTAATATGGTGAAGTACTGCTTGGGCAACATTGGCCAAAGTGTCCAGTGTCATTGCTGCACATACATTTTCAATTTCTTGTCTAAGGGTCACCAATGTAATTACAGCTGTTGATAAAACATTTATATGACAGTAAACAGTGTTATTGCAATTTGATAAAATATGAAAGACAAGTTTTTCTTTTCCTGAATTGTGTATACATTTTCTTTGGCAAACTTTGTATTTAGAAATACTTGATAAAATCCAAAGAATCAGCAATGCTATTGGTCTTCACCTGGCATCTCAGCTTCAGTCACTTTCCCACTGCCATAACATAGCTTCCCTGTGTCTTTTTCTACAAATTCTTCTGGTCAATTGTGATTTTCTACTTTTCATGAAATGGTGCAGTACAGTCAACACTTTTACCCCACAGGCCATTATCCTGTACTGTTGGTTTGTGAATTTGGTGACATAGTGGTTGTGAATTCAGTCTCTGAGTCAAGCAGTTTGTACTTGCACTCAGGGAAAACAGGCAAGCAATAACAGAGCTGTACTAAACAAAAATAAGAACTACACAAGATATCCCTAGACATGGCCAGTGGAATGAGAACAATCTTCCCCTGTAGATTAAATAAAGGGTTCAGTTCAGAATTCCCTGTAGGTTACCCAAATTAATATATTGCTGAGAAAGACTGGAAGGCACAGTGTTCGAAACAGTGTGATAAAAACAACAAAGATGAAGGCAATAGCCCAAATAATGTTCAATTTATTTTTCAAGATTTCAAAAAATTAAAGGCCAGTTAAATTTGGCTTTAAATTTCTGTAGGCTTTTCTCCCCAAATTTCCTTTTCATAAATAAATGCAATCATAAATTTTTATTTATTTATTTATTTTTAATCAATTCCACCCCAAGAAAGGTGATAATGCCACTAAGACGCAATGGGCTACTGGGAGTGAAAGAAACTGGAAACTTCATCCTAAACAGGAAACAAGAGATAAATCTCTACTCCTGTTCAAAATACTGAGGAGTGTGAACTGGGCGATAGGCAAAACTATCTACTCCTGTTGAGGAAATAAATGAAAAATAAATAGTAGCTAAAATTTCAGAGTTTAAGCGGAAATTAGAAGTATAGT